TAATTTTGTAAATTTATACAAATAAGAAATGATTCATACTAGATATTTCTAAACAATTATTTCTAAATTCTTTCATTGCTAATTGTTCCACATATAATTTCTAATATATTAAATATTTAACAATTGATCGTTTATAGCACGGAGAATGCTCCGCATAGTTCAGAGTAGATTTTTTTTCCTTCCTTTTTCTCTTTCAATTCTTTCGCACTGCTTGGACGATATATATACATATATATTAAAATATTAATATTACAGTACAGATATAGATAAACACATAAAATTAACACATCTTCTTAACAAAATCATTTTCATTATAATTTATAATATATTAAATATTTAACAATCGGTCGTTTCTACAAGATGCTATTTTTACCAAAAAAAATACATTATGCTGCTATTATTAAACTTAAAAATACAATAACATTTTGATTAGCCTAAAATGGTCAGCGTTGGAAGAAAATGGAGTAACTTTTACATACAGTGTTCGTTTTGGGCCCATGACCCCATTCCNCTCGCGACGATTCCCATTCAACTCATTGCTTTGCGGTGACGTATGAGAGATTTTAAATGTTTGAGTTCATTTGCTAAGTCAAAACGCCATTTAAAATTGTGTACAATGCTACATGTACATTAAGTTGTCCATAATGGTATCAAAATGTTGTTTTTTTTTTTTTTTACTTCCAAAATCAATTTCTTGTGGGAGTTAAAAAGGGCTAAAAATTGAAATAAAAACCCTAGACGTATTTCACTCTCACTTTTCCCATTCTCATTCTCTCGACTTAGACGTCTCAATCCAGAGAGAAACCCATGTAATGGATGGTTTACCATAGCAATTTTTATCCTTCTCCAATGTGCTAGCTGGTGGATTTGAAGGCGGCACCAGTGGAACTAAAGATACCACCGGCTCAAATGGTAAATTTTATTTTCCTTTCTATTCGAAATGTAATGATTCACGAATCAGATAATTATATTGGAGATTAAAGTATGATTTTCCTTCTTCTTCCTCCACCTCTACAGAGAAGGACACTCATCTTGAAGGAGAGTCGCATATTTTTCCAACAACATGGTCGACGAGAACTCCGACCATGGTAGACTTTGTTTATTGGAGTAAATTTTCTAGAATAAACAGGTTGGTACTATAGATTTGCTTGTGACACTTCAATATGATGCAAGTTTGCCTTTGTCTTTTTGAAGTGTTCTATACATGTCTTTGTGATAGTCAATTTTTATGTTTGATTTAGAAATGTTTATCCAAATTCTCAAATATGCCCGATACTTTTCTGCAAAATGATGTGAATTCAAAGCAGTTGTTTCATCTCTTAATTACAAACATAATGTGAAATGTTATTTCTACAGGAGTGGATACTCCAATTTCTGTATATATATGCGTGTTATTGAATCTATTTGTATAATTTAGCATGGAAAATAGCTTGAGTTGGTATTATAATATAGTTTTATCGTGCACTTCCATGTACTTTCTTTATTGCTTTAGAAAGAGAGGAAACTCTAAGACCGTGTGAACCACAACATAGTTTCACCGGCTCTACCATGATTTTGCTGGCTTGTGTTCTTCACCTTGTCACTTCCTTATTCCCCCCCCCCCCCCCCCCCTTTTTTTTCTCTACCTTGGTACCCCTCCTCTAATTTTTTATAAAGCTTTACGGGCTCGAATTTAAGTTGAGGTGATGTGGAATTTTCTTCACTCGACTCCACTTCACTCGCCACCGCAAGTAATTTGGTGGTAGCTGTGGAAGGCGAAGGCGAAGGCGGTGTCAAGTGGTGATATGGAAGGTGGCGAGGGCTAGGGGTGGGTTGAGATGGATTGGGGGTGATTGGGGAAGATGAAGTGGATGAGTGGGGGTAGGGGTTGCAAATTTCTTTTCTTTTTTATATAATTATTTTATTTGAGAAAATGTAAAATTACAATTTTTCCCTTCATTTTGCTGTTCAAAATAGGTTAACTTTTTGATTTTTGGTCAATTAACGAATTTGTGGTTTGGGTACAATCTGCAAAATTTTAAAAGGTTTAGGATCCAAGTTGTCATTCTATGCATTTTAAAATAGTAGATTGATGGAAAATGTATTGATAAATATAAAGAAAAATTTTGAATTTACGTGTAATATTATTTTATTGAAAAATGTGTGATTGAAAAAAAAAAGTATTTTTGAAAATAACGAGGATTAAAATATAGTTATTCCACAAATAATACTGGAGGAAATACATGAAAATAACATTTACACTGTAGTGTATTTCCAAAGTGACTTTTGACTAGGAAATAGAATTTAAAAAAAGAGTCAAAATGTAGGTTAACTTCGAA